CCCCCCCCCCCTTTTTTTTCTATAAATAATAATAAATGAAAAGAACGATATTCCTTGTGTGAAATTTTACCAGGTGTGCTTATCTACAGAAGATGAATTAAATGCATATTTTAGTAACTGCGGATCTGTGAGTTTCTACCACATCACCGCTCCTCTTCCCTTTCCCCTCACAACCAAAGCCCTTGGGGAGGGGGAAGGGAAGGGGAATCTTAACTCCAGATCTTATGCCTCTCGTATTTTAAAAGTGAGGAGTGTTTAGGTTGAGAAAAATGTTCTTAGCATAGGGCACATCTTATTCCATCTAAAAATTCCTCAACTGAAAAACAGTTTCAGGGAACATGTTTTATTTTCACTCCTTTTCCATTGATTTGAGTTACATTTCTGAAAAAAAAGATCAATGCCAGTATATTGCTGTAGCAGCATAAATTATTCCAGGCTTCATGTGGAATTGCTCTTTTTTGATAGCTTCCTTCTTGAAGCCTTGGAATAACTGAGACTATGAAACGGGACAGGAATATGAACATATGGTACAAGGCAAAGAAATATTATTCATTTGTGAATTGTGATTCTTATGGATAGTTAGACCCATATTGGGTAAACATTTTAGAAAAAGTAGGATTTAAGGTTTCCCATTCCTGCTTTCCTAGATATAGGAAAAGCTATATTCCAAACAATATCTTGTAGGCTCTGGATCATGGTGATAGTGGGATGGCTAATGTTGGAAAAGGGAGGCAGAAAGAAGCTCATCAGAAACAAAGGAGGAATGGGTACTAGTATTCTAAGTGCTCCATTAGCAGCTTAGGGGTGATGGGGGCAGACTAAAATACCCAGCAACAGGGACGGATTCCTTTAAAGATAGCTCAGGTCTGTTGTCTGAGTTGGTGTACAGGAAAAAGGACAGTTGCCAGCTCTATTATAAAGAGTTGGAAACTTCAGGACTCAAGTGTGGGGTTGAGGAAGCCAAGGAAGGGGATGCCTGGTCTAATTGCTTCTGTGAGCTCTCCACCTCCCCTTTTAATGCTGCTAGAATTTGACCCATCTTGAGTTATAACACACAGTGACACACTCTTGCGAGGTGAGGGTCAGGGGAAGTGACAATAAATCCTCCTAAGAAACCTCCCCCTAAGAATCTTTCCTAAGAAATATATAGAATAGCCCAACATGAAGAGATTTAAACAACAGAGGGTAATTTGGGGAAACACTGAACACTCAAGAGACCTAGAAATGATAACGAACATCAAATTAGACATGAGTTTAAGCTATGGTTTTGGTGAGATAAAAATGGATATGATGCTGAGTTTTGCATGCAAAGGCCTCACATTATGTCAAAAAAACACTGAAGTGCCTCCCTTGCATGGATTGCTTCTGGAATTCTGAATTCAGTTATAGGAACTGCAATAGCAAACGATGTTAAAAATACATAGGGGATTTAGGAAATAAAAATGATAAAAGTGGAGGGAATGATTTATAAGGACAGCTTTAAGGAAATAAGCCTCTATAATTCCCATAAATGGAAATGTAACTATTTATAATTGTTTAGAATGTTTTGGAAATGAAAAACTATGACTAAGGCAATGGGCATGCATTACATTATTGTGCTAATTGCACCTTTTAATGTTACAAAAAGTGGCTGTACAGTCTGTCACTTTTGCTGTTTGTGGTGCTACGAAGATGGCAAAAGCACTATGAAATGGTGCTTTTCAAACAGAAGCTTCTTGGGTTTGTAGTGCTATGTATAACACCTATATGTAGCATTACCCAGGTCTCTAGGACCTACAACACTTCAGTCACTCCCTGTCCCCAATGGCTGACTCCAAGTGGGTAGAGGAAGGAGAGAGTGTGGCTCCCTGCCTGCTTGCCCAGAAGCAAGCAACTGGAACCCTATTAACAATGTTGCCACTTTAAGAGCCCTGCACAGAGGTGGCTGTAACAGGCTGTGGTGGAGCTGCTGCTGATCAGCAAAGCTGGGCAGCCGTAACTCTGTCATCGCTGCCGCATTCAGCAGAGCTGCCATTCTCTTGGCCATGGCAGCTGTGCAGCTGCTTGCAGCTACTGATCAGCTGTTAGGTGAAACAAGGCAGGGGAGGAATATAGGAGGAAGGATTAGGATTAAGGAAAGGGAATTTCCATCACTGCTGCTAGTGGCCTGGCAAGATGGCAGTGGCAACAGTACAACCAGGGCTGGCAGAGGTAAGAAGAGCAGGTGGAGAAGCTGATGATTTCTAGAAGTGGCCAGCTAATCATTGACAGCATGCCCCCTTTCTCTGGCAAGGAAAAGCTGCCAGTCACAGGCTGTCCTGGGGGCGGAGGTGGAGGGGACCCCAGCCACCTTGATGGAGAGCTTGGAAGAGCTGGTCTTTCAAACGACTTTGTAGCAGCCAGGGAGCTGAAATATCTATATGCACTCATAGCACTACATGAGATACTTTTTAGCATTACAGAAGAATGCCTGTCCATACCCTAAATGAATGAGGTTAAGAAAAGAAAAATCAGGCTGAACATCAGGAAAATCTTTCCCATCGATTGAGACACTTTAAATTTGTGCTGGATAAAATACTAGTAAGGAAATTTTATAGAACAATCCTAACAGGAATTGATTAATAATTTATTACTACTAGACCTTTCTGTCGTTTTTGACTCTTCTGTGGTGGAATATTTGGCATTCTAAATTGTTAGTGCACAGTTTGTTCTATATCTATTAAAGTAAAGGTATTGTGATTACAAAACATAGGAGCAAACTCAGTTAATCAAGTCTGCTGGAGCATGTTAATTAGAGTGAAATTTGCATGCTCCAGTAGCCTCAGCTTCTCATTTATTCAGTGTCCCTGCACTTCAAAATGGCTGTAGGAGCGCTTTAACCACAGTTTTAGTTAAAGAGCCCCCACAGCTATTTTGATGCTCAGCATGCTGAATACACATGACACTGAGAGCAGTCTGAACCTCAGCAGTCTCTTGGGGATGTTACTCATTAACAAATTATTTTTTGGCATACTGCTACAAACAGAACCCTATTGTCATACATTTCATGCTATTTCATAGTTTCATAGTTTCTAGGGTCAGAAGGGAC